CCCCAAAACCCCAAAACCCCAAAACCCCAAAACCCCAAGATTTAAGTATTCTCTTGAAAATAGCTAAAATTCTGATCCTTTTAATAATTTTTGGATGTGGTGAGAAACCACTGGATCTATATCATCCAGCCAAGTCAGAGTGACTTCTCCTCTAAGTTCATCTATCAGCTTGATTCGTAACTCATTATCTGTCTTAGTGGCATTTACAATAGCTCTACCTGCGATTCTTCTACCTGTAAGATTGTCGTAGTCTCTTAAAGCTTCGATGAAGACCTTCAATCCTTCATTGTACTGGATATGAGGTCTGAGGTATTCCCTATCCGCTAGGTTTGCAAGAACCTGGAGAGCGTAGTTCTTAAAAGCCTGACTCACTGAAGACCCACGTGCTCATCTGATCAAGTAAGGGATATATGTATGAAATTTGATATCAATCTTAGTGTCTTTTAATCCACCCTAGAGATAATTTGATTATTAATTACAGAAAATTTGTTCTCAGATATGAAAGTTAGAGCCTTCATGGCCAACTCTCTAATAGGCGTAACACTGCACCTTGTGATTTCAATGAATTGGCTTGCTTTTAGATATCTTCTACCATTCTCAATAACCCTATGTATTACCAGATTGACTTACGAATCAATGAAGAACTCCAGGACCTTCCTAATAGTGGGATGATGGAATTTATAACTAAAGACGATTCTTTCAATGATCTCGCTAATCAGTGCATCATACGCTCTCTCTTTATCCATTCTCTGAATCAGCTCATTGATGAATTTCTTTTGGCTCTCCATTGCGTCATAATCGAGGTCGACCATTTCAAGGACTTGGCATGCTTGTAAGAATTTTGAGGTGCTTTCCATGATGATTATTCCACTATAATCCAACATTTGCACAAGGTTGTTTAGGGCAGTTACAACCATATCTTTAGAGTTATTCTCACTATTCAACATTTCGAGGTAATTCTGAACTAAATCTTTGTTGTAACTAGAATTTTAAGGCAGGATCTTACCTCTTCTTGCCGGGTGGCAAAGCATCTGAAGGATGGCGACCATCTGAGAAATAAGTAATTTTGTAGAGAGGTGACTGGTAGATATCCCTAGAGGCTGCTATTCTGTTTTTCAGGATTCTTTCATCCTCACTCTTGATGTTTTCTATCAAATTTACACCCCTCTTTTTGATGAAGCCTCGCAACTGCTTTGCTGGTCTGAGAGAATCAGGATCCATATACTCTGGAATTGCTTTGGCCCAAGACGGAAGTTCAAATTTTGGGTTTTCGAAGTTGGTCCTTGCACTATTTATCAGAGGCAACGAAGCTCTCAGATTTGTAGTCGATCTTGATAAGCTACTTCCAAGACTGTATTTTGAAGAGCTTGGATTAGGGGTAGAAATTGGAGTGTCTACATCTCCTTCAGGGTCAAGAAACCTTCCATTATTTGAATCTAGGATGTCCTTTTTAAGCAAAGATGTACTCAAGCTGCCATATCTCTTGAAATCTGGGTTATCTAACTGATAGTACTTAATGATATCAGTTGTCAGGATAGTACTATACCCAGAGGTAATCTTCAAGATCAAAGCTTTTGTAGCAGTCGGAGTCAAGGGATCTCTAGAGATTCTGATCAATAAGTCAAGACATGGTTTATTCTTGAATTTTTCATAAAATAATCTGGACTTAAGTAGATACTCCAATATTTTTCAAGTGTTGTTAAGGACAAATTTATCCTTATTTAGCAAAAGTATTAATCCATTTTTCGATGGCAAGCACAGTCAAATCAAGCATGTTCTTGTTATCTGGAGTGTCAAATAAGTCTATTGTTTTCTGCTCTGCACATAATTTCACCATTACAATACATAGGTTATGAACCAACTGCTTATCCTTTGTCATTCCTAAAGCCATTATTGTTTGAATTAAGTCTGCCTTATTTTCATAATCAGCTATGTAAGTATCGGTGATTTGTTGAACAATACTGTAATGGCTGTTCTTCAATGCATAAATGAGATCTTTAGGCCCCAATATAGAGGGAATATCATCAATATGATCCTCATACATTTTTGGGTACGCAAAGACAGAGCTGCCAGAATTGAGGACTTCTCAGACAAGAGAGGACTCTTGTAATGGCTTACCACCGATATCCTCAAGCTTTCCACATACAAAGTTGGGTTCCCTAGGATAGATAGACTCAAACTCAGTCTCAATCTTCCTACGAAGCTGCTCAACTCTCATGTATGGTGCTACTTGTAGTGAGAACTTATTTATATTTTTGGTCAGATAACTCCCCTCTCTCAACAGTTACATTAACAGAGAAGAGGCCAGCTATGTTAGTGGTTCCTGATTTTGGTCCAGCTGGAAGAGTATTCTCCTCTTGATACATCCTTCTTGGAGGGAGCATGCTGACTATTCCTTGTTTGAAATACCTATTTGAGCCTTCCATAATTTTGCTTATCAATTTATTATAAGTATTCTGGGGTTTTGGGGTTTTGGGGTTTTGGGGTTTTGGG